GTTTACACATAAATAGACTTTGGAAGTCGAAAAAATTAGAAAGTCGACGAAAAAGTGAAACATCATTAAACAAAGATATAAATGAAAAACAACTTCAAATCTAAGAAAAACAACATGTTTACACATAAATAGACTTTGGATGTCGAAAAAATTTTGAAGTCGACGAATAAGTCAAACATCATCAAATGATGTTGTAAGTAAGAAAAAACTTAAAATTTATGAAAAACAACTTGTTTACACATAATTAGACAATGGAAGTCGAAAAAATTAGAAAGTCGACGAAAAAGTGAAACATCATTAAACAAAGATATGAATGAAAAACAACTTAAAATTTGTGAAAAACAACATGTTTACACATAAATAGACTTTGGAAGTCGAAAAAATTAGAAAGTCGACGAAAAAGTGAAACATCATCAAATGACGTTGTAAGTAAGAAAAAACTTAAAATTTAAGAAAAACAACATGTTTATACATAAATAGACTTTGAAATTCGAATAAATTTGAAAGTCGATGAAAAAGTGAAACATCATCAAATGACGTTCTAAGTAAAAAAAAAAAATAAAATTTAAGAAAATCAAATTGTTTAAACATAAATTCACTTAGAAAGTCGACAAAATTAGAAAGTCGACGAAAAATTGAAACATCATTTATCTACGTTCTAAGTAAGAAAAAATTTAAAATCTAAGAATAACAACATGTTTACACATATATAGACTTTGAAAGTCGAATAAATTTGAAAGTCGATGAAAAAGTGAAACATCATCAATAGACGTTGTAAGTAAGAAATAACTTAAAATTTATGAAAAACAACATGTTTACACATAAATCGACTTTGAATGTTGAATAAATTAGAAAATCGATGAAAAAGTGAAAAATCATCAAATGAAGTTGAAAGTAAGAAAAAACTTAACATTTAAGAAAAACAACATGTTTAAACATAAATTCACTTAGAAAGTCGACAAAATTAGAAAGTCGACGAAAAATTGAAACATCATTTATCTACGTTCTAAGTAAGAAAAAATTTAAAATCTAAGAATAACAACATGTTTACACATATATAGACTTTGAAAGTCGAATAAATTTGAAAGTCGATGAAAAAGTGAAACATCATCAAATGACGTTGAAAGTAAGAAAAAACTTAAAATTTAAGAAAAACAACATGTTTAAACATAAATTCACTTAGAAAGTCGACGAAAAATTGAAACATCATTTATCTACGTTCTAAATAAAAAAAAATTTAAAATCTAAGAATAACAACATGTTTACACATATATAGACTTTGAGAGTCGAATAAATTTGAAAGTCGATGAAAAAGTGAAACATCATCAAATGACGTTGAAAGTAAGAAAAAACTTAAAATTTAAGAAAAACAACATGTTTACACATAAAT